ACCCAATCTCCATTTGGTCACATTCACAGAACCTGGGTGGGCTTGAATTTTCAGGGGACACTATTTAATCCAGTACAGTATCTAATAGGAACCCCAGACTTAACGTGTATATGAAACTGAGCTCTAAAACTGAGCTCCTGCATTTTCTACCGTCATTGTTCACATACCCTTCCCCCTCTGCACTGACGGCAGCCTTGTTCTTCCAGTTGTTGGGCTAAATTCCTTAAAGCCTCATCTTTTATAGCCATGTGTAATCTCGTGTCTTTCCTTCAGACTTCATCCTGGTCTCTACTCACTGCTCCCTGCTTGTCCAAGTGCGTCTCGCCTCTGGCCTAGATTCCTGCCTAGAATCTAGCCGGGTCCTCTACCTCCTGCTCTTTATGCATTTTCCTCTGCCTTCAGCACAGCAGAGAGCCGTCATGTCGCCCTGCTGCCCTGCTCAGGACCCTGGTTGCACCACAACCGGAGTGCTCATGGTGACCTGTGTGGCTCCACATGCTCTGCCCTGGTTCCCTCTCCTCCAGCCCTCCTGGCATCATTGTCTCCTAACCCTGCAGGCTCAATATGCTCCTCTCCTGGGCTCCTGGGTGTGGTGACACCTTCCTTACCTGGCTGACCTCATCACTTGTGTCCTCCCTGGACCAGCAGACCCAGGGAGGGTCTGTCCTTCCTATTACTGTCATGTTTCCCCATGATTGCCCCTTTTTAGTTTTAAAAACTATTTTTGTAGAGACAGGGTCTCGCCCAGTTTGAAAACTTTTTATTGTGAAGAATATTGTATATGTAAAAGTGTAGAAAAGGTGTATGTTCAGATTAAATGATAAAATGAATATCTGTGTCCATGGCACCAGCTTCAGTGGAACAGCGGCAATAACTTGGAAGTCTTTGTGTTCCTTCCTACCACCACCAAAACTTAACCACCCTTCTGAATCTTGTATAAATCTTTCTTTATATGTACTACTTAACGTATTGTTTACTTTTACCTGTTTTTGAACTTAGTAGAAATGAAATTATACAATATGGGTTCTGTGAATCAAATCTTTTGCTCAGCCTTGTTTCTGAAATTCATTTATGTTGAAGCATTTATGGCCATGTTGCTTAATGCCAGCGTAGTGAGAAATATGTTGTTAGGTGATTTCATCATTGTATAAACATCCTAAAGGATGTTTACACAAACCCAAATGGTAGTGCCTACTATACGCGTAGGCTATACGGTGGAGCCTGTTGCTCCTAGACTGCAGACCTGTGCAGCAAGTGACTGTACTGAATACTGCAGGCAAAATGTGACATACATCATTAGTGATCTCTCAGCTCCACTATAGTCTTAGAGGATGGTCTCACACATGCAGCCTTTCCTCTACTGAAATGGCATTACGTTGTGCATAACCGTAGCCTTATTCATGTTCACTGCTGAGAAGTATTTCATTTTGTGAATCATAGGGCCTCAGCTCCACTGGGTCATGGGGTGTCCCCTATAGCTGTGCTGTGGTGCAGGATCCGAGAAATAGACAGGACCCAAAGGAACTGGAGAAGAGCAGCTGGGCTCAGGGGCCATGCCACCTATGAGTGGAGACAGGCCAGGCTCCGAACATCCGGAATAGTCTGTATTTATTAGGTACAAAGCAGGGGGAAGGATGGTGAGGTCATCTGTAGTCTTAGTGATAGGGCATACATAAGCACGTGAGTAACAAGCAAGGGGGCCACCCCATTAGGTCACCTGGGCAGAGAGGTGGGCCGGGCGTAGTAGTAGAGGGTCATGTACATAAAAGGGGGTCCAACCCCATTAGGTCACTGAGGCTAGGAGGTGAGCTGTGTGCAACAAGTGCCGTGCAACACTTCTTATCTAGGGGCTGGAGACTTCAGAGGATTCTTTTTTTTTTTTTTTTTTGAGATGGAGTTTCGCTCTTGTTACCCAGGCTGGAGTACAATGGCGTGATCTCTGCTCACCGCAACCTCTGCCTCCTGGATTCAGGCAATTCTTCTGCCTCAGCCTTCCGAGTAGCTGGGATTACAGGCACGCGCCACCATGCCCAGCTAATTTTTTGTATTTTTAGTAGAGACAGTGTTTCACCATGATGACCGGGATGGTCTTGATCTCTTGACCTCGAGATCCACCCGCCTCTGCCTCCCAAAGTGCTGGGATTACAGGCTTGACCCACTGTGCCCGGCTGTTGTTTTTTTTTTTTTAGACGCAGTCTCACTCATTCTTCCAGGCTGGAGTGCAGTGGCATGATCTGAGCTTCGTGCAACCTCCACCTCCTGGCTTCAAGCGATTTTCCTGCCTCTGCCTCCTGAGTAGCTGGGACTACAAGCATGCGTCGCCACGCCCGGCTAGTTTTTGTATTTTTAGTAGAGTTGGGGTTTCACTGTGTTGGCCAGGCTGGTCTCATTCCTGACCTCAGGAGTTCGCCTCAGCCTCCCAAAGTGCTGGGATTACAGACGTGAGCCACCATGCCCAGCCCTTACTGAGGTTTTGATCTGCTTTTCCATAAGACTCGGGATGTTGAGCATCATTTCATGTGTTTATTTGCCATCCATATGTCTTTTTTGATGAAGTGGCTTTAGTCTGCTCCTTTTAAAATTGTGTTGATTTTTATAAGAGTTCTTTATATAATGTATATACAAGTCTTCTGTTGGATGTGTGTCTTCTAAATGTTTTCTGTTAGTCTATGGCTTGCCTTTTCTTTTAAATTGTAGTGAACGCAGTTTGATCCTCTTACCAACTTTTAAGTACATTATAGCATTGTTAACTTTGTTAACTATATGCTCATTGTTGTGCCACAGATCTTTAGAACTTTCTCATCTTGCATGAATGAAACTCTACCCATTGAACAACTCTTGTGGTGTGTCTTTTAATGTTTACAATAGTGCCTTTGAAAGAGGAGAGTTTTTATGATTTTAATGAAATTCAGTTATTGACTTTTAAAATATTTCTTGTTTTGTGTTATATTTAAGAAATAACTGCCAAACATCAGGTGGCAGTAGGATTTTCTCCTATGATTTTTTTCTAGGTGTTTTATAGTTTTAGCTCTTATACTTAGGTCTGGGAAATCAAAGTTTTCCATATGGTGTGAAACAAAGGCCAAGGTCTGTTTGTAAATTATTTGCAAATGTCAGTGCAGTTGTTTCAGCACTGTGTTTACTAGGGCCACCCTACCACAGGCTGGGCGCGGCTTCAATAACAGAAATGTATTCCCTCATAGTCTTGGAGGCTGGAAGTCCAAGATCAAGGATAGGGCAGGGTTGCTTTCTTCTGAGGCCCTGTCCTCTACGTTTGTGTTCTCATCTCTTATAAGGATGTTAGTCAGATTGGATTAAGATCTACTCTAATGACCTCATTAATTTTAATTAACTCATTAAAGGTCCTAGTCACACACTTTTCTCCACCTTGTTTTTTTTCATGTAATGTGTCCTGGAGTTTGTTCTGTACTAGCATGTAGAGGTATTTATAACTGCAAAGTACCCTACCGATATACATACCATATTCGACTGGTCCTCTGTTGATAGACATTCAAGTCCTTTCTGACTTCTTTTTGCTTTTACAAATAGTCCTGAAATGAACAGCCTATGTATACATCTTTTATTTTCAACACTGTTATCTGTGGGATCGATTCCTAGAAATGGAATTGTTGGGTCAAAAGTTAAATTTATATTTCACTTTGTGTAGTGGCTGTTTTTTAATTCACTATTTTAAGTCGCAAAGAATGGCCTTTGAAAATTTTCCTGATACTAAGATGTATGATTTTGTGTACGTGCGTATATGCTTTGGAAGCAGAAAACAAAATGGAAAAAATCAAGTGTCCAGAATCATTCCCTCCATCCTCTTACTGCGGTTCTTTATTGACCAGTAGAGGCCACTGTTGAATAACAAAGCTGGTGGGAAGTCCAGCACACACCTGGGCGGTCTCCGTGCAAAGCATGGATCGCCTGAACAGGTGTGGAGCTGCAGTTTTTAGACCACGCTTTCCCCTCCCTAAGGGAGGTTGTCACACAGGGGAGTGCCAAAGGGGAACTCCAGATGAAGATTAAAGCCAGCTCTCTTTGGTGGGAGCTCTTCTTCATGGTCCCACAAAAGTGATTTGTAAAACTCTTGTGTATTCTGCTGCCAGGCCCCACTTAGTTGCCCACTGACATTGTGTTTCTCCCACACTCCACCTGCTTAGCAGTTTACAGTCCATCTGCCTTCATCTGTTATTTTTTTCTCATAATTAGGTGGTTTGACTTGAGATACAAGAATGGGACTAGATTTTAGATGACTGGGTGTAGGAAGCCAGGCAAATAACCAAAGATTCGGTTATTTCTCTGATCTCCTCCCTACGGAGAGACACAAAGGGAATCCATCAGGTCTTACTAATTCCCCATGGATACTGAGGGTCAACTGTACGTAAAAATGCAGTTCAGTTCATGTATATATATAGACCTCATATTCAGCAGCTGTGCCAAACTCACTCTTGCTGATTATCTTCAGATTCTTTTGGGCTTTCCTATGTATGTAGACATATCATCCGTGAATAGTAAGTTTTATTTCTTTTTCAATCCTTATACCTTATATTAATCTGGCAAGGATTTATTAATTTTCTGTCTCTTCAAGGAACCACCTTTTGGTTTCATTGATTTTACTGTTTTATTAATTTCTCCAGTACTCTGCCCACTGCACTCCAACCTGGGCAACCAGAGTGAGACCCTGTCTCAAAACTAAACAACAAAGTAACCAACAGGAATCGTTCGGAAAGACAGTTTGCCCCTTATGTTTGCTTTTGTATTTGTAAAAACAAAAAGAAAAATAAAAGTCTGTGTTTTGTTGGTATAAAGAACTGTTTGTGTAGTCTTTCTCAGAACTGTTACTGGACTAGGTAGTCACTGTGGGCAAACAGAATTTTCACTTGTTAATATGTGTATTCTTTGGTTTACAGGCTTATATATCTCGTAAAGGTGTTTTGTTAAAATAACAGCGTAACATTTATTCTGTTTGGTAATGGTTTTACTTATTAATTTTATAGAATTAACACTGAATCCTCCGGAAGGAATTGTGGCAGGTAAGGTACTAAAGTTAACTTCCTTATAATTTACTTTTAGTTGCCAAAGTTCCCTTCAAAGTTAAAATGGTGTGAAATTTTTTCTTACTCTACAGGCCCCATGAATGAAGAGAATTTCTTTGAATGGGAGGCCTTGATCATGTAAGTTAATCATATGTGTACTAGTTTTTAGGGCTTTGCTGGAAGTCAGATGTAAGAATCACATCAGCAATGTGACTGTGCCCCAAAGTCACCTGGAAAAAAGACAGTTCTCCAGTAACACCCAGCTCTTCTCTAGGCTGCTGGTCTGAAAGCAGAGAGGACCTGAGCATTGATCCAAAAGAAAGGAGTGTTTCCTTAGAGCCAGTCAAAGGTTTAGTTATAAACACGTAATATATGCATTATATATTAGAGAGTTTTAAGGTGGTAATTTTGGAATGTTGTATGGTCATGGTTAACCTCAAATGGTATGGGTGGCTTTGGCTTCCAGAAGTCCCTAAGGATCTGAAATGTTGACAAGAAAAGGGTCCTCAAAGATATGGGGATCACACCAGCATGTTAGCGCAGCCTTGCCTGCCCTGTCTTTGGGCCAGGACTTTTTTTTTCTTTTCCTTTCCTCTCAGTTCATCTCTTCCTGTGCTGCTTCTCCTTTTTCTGTTGCCCCGTCTAGGCTTGTTGGCCTTGCGTTCTCTCTGACCCAAGACGTGGCTTAGTACTAAGTGAGTAGTGTGGTTCTGTGTTTCATGGCATTTAACTTAGGGTAACATTGCTTGGAAACACTCTGATTTTAGAGTGCTCTGTGGCCCTGACTCACTTTGCTTTTTCTTCCTTCTACCTTAGATATGCAATTTTTGGCTATTAGTGTATTTTCACCAAAGTGAGGTTAAGTAAAATTTAGGAAGTTGAAATTTGTAATCAATCTCTGTTTTCTTTCATTTTTATTTTTGATGGAGTTTTGCTCTTGTTGCCCAGGCTGGAGTGCAATGGTGTGACCTTGGTTCACTACAACCTCGCCCCCTGGGTTCAAGCAAATCTCCGGCCTCAGCCTCCCTAGCAGCTGGATTACAGGTACCTGCCACCGTGCCCTGCTCATTTTTATATTTTTAGTAGATACAGGTTTCACCACGTTGGCCAGGCTGGTCTCAAACTCCTGATCTCAGGTGATCTGCTCGCCTCGGCCTCCCAAAGTGCTGGGATTTCAGGAGTGAGCCACTGTGCCCAGTTTCTGTTTTCTCATTAGTGAGATGTTTTAATTTGCAGAAAGGTCTTGGGTTGGGTTTTGTTGCATTGAGAAGTGCTCTAGTGGGCAGGGTCTGAAAAAGTGAGGGCTGTGGAACAAGCGTGAGCTCTGGCTTGATGTGACCTTAAATTTCACTACGCTTTTGGAATTTGCCGACTGCCTGGATCACATTAATTCTTCATGCTCTACAGATTAGTCTGACAAACAGTTGGCAGCTAAGTGTTGTCTGTGGAGGTTAAATTGATAGGAAAATTAGTTTTTTAGATAAATAGAATGTTTTTAAAAAAATTGTCACTCTGCAGGTGGCACAGCAGGCCTGCCATTTCCTGATCATTTGTAATATCCTAATTGCTTGGGCCTATGGCACATGTTTTTTCTGTGTCTGAGGGTTTCTGGAATCTGTGTTTGTGTCTGATGTGGCCCTGGGGCAGTTATGAGATGGACGGCAGGCAGGTTCCACAGTCTGTGCTGTCCTCGTTAGTGGACTGTTGGGCTGTGTAGGGCCAGCTCTTTGTATTTCTGTCCTCCTTGTGTCACGTGTTGATGTAGGCGCACCTGCACTCATGCCAGCAGGCCAGCACGCCTGCTGCAAGGGCACAGAGAGGCGGGGAGGCCTGTCTACGTGTAGAGGTTGAAGGCGCCTGTCGGGTCTGCAGTATTTGGAGGATGTTGGCGCCTCAGTAGGCCTGTTTAGAAGCTCATTAAAGGAACAGTTGAGCCTACTCATGTGGTTTTAAAAAAGTGTTCATTGTTAAAAATCTATTAGGGTAACTATTACCAATTTTAAATAAACAGTATAAAATTAAACCAATATTATGAAAACCCGTCTTAAAAAGTAATTAGAACTATTTTTAGGTAGAGCACTTCTGTGTTTGAACAAGGCTTTTTGCATTAGTGTGGAATTCCCCTGCTTGAAGATCCTGGTGAGTTTGTGGGTTTTGGTCCTGTTCCAGACCCTTTACAAACAAGAGGCCGTTTACAAGTGCACTTAAAATGCCTATTAGGGAATTAACTGTCCTCCCATCGATTTGTCTCACCCTGCTGTTTTGGCAGACATCTAGCTAAGTCTTTATTCGTTGGTGATAGGTTTCTTCTTTTTCTCTTTATTGTTTGGTGGTTTCCAGGGCCACGTCTCTACCCTAGTATTTCTAAAACCTGGACTTGCCTCACGGAAGTCTAATAGCTGTTGGTTTTTGCTGTTGTGCTTGCCCTAAGACTCAGTATAGAAAATGTCTTCTTAGATACCCAAGCAACAAATACTAAGTGCCTTATATATTAGAGCCCTTGTCTAAGGTTACAGACTTGTCAGAGATGCACTGAAATCTTTACCTCGGAAGATCAGGGTTGAGGGGTTAGGATAGAGAGTAGAATAGCTTAGTGAGTAAGAGGACCAAATAGTAAGACTTAGCAGGCTGCATCTTTAGTTAAACACGGGAAATAACTCTGCTAACCCTGCTGAGCTCACGATGGAGTATGAGCCTGTGGTCGAATAGAGTGTGGCTGGGACGGCGGCATGCCAGGGGATGTGGCCTTCGTGGCTGTGATTGTTAGCATGGCCTGTTGCTCTTGGCCTAGTCACTTTGCCTCTCTGACCTTCACTTAATGTGGATAAAACAGAGAAGTTCATCAGCATCTTCTAGACAGATGGTTTCAGGTCTCGTGTAGCTCTAGGGTCCATGGCCTGTGACCCCATTGCCACTAAGCCATGGTGATGGGGGTGTACCTACAGAGAGGCGGGGGTGGCCTTTTATTGATGCACTTCTGTAGGGTGCACCCAGCCCTAGGTAGCTGTTCAGTGCCAGTGGCGGACGAGGCATGGAGTCCATTGGGCCTTGCTGTCTGCTGTGTCCTGCTCCAGCATTCCCAAATCAGCTGGCTTGGGAACCTTCCTGTTTGGTCCATGCCCCACTGCTATCACCTCCCCAGACCAGTGGTTCTAGAGGCTGTGGTGAAATAAGAAGGACCTTCCTTTGTGGAAGGTTGCGTTTTGGGTCCAATTCATGGATGGTGCTCCCAGGTTCTCCAGCTGGCTAACAGCAGCCCCTTGAGGGTTCCCAGGCTGCCACTTCTCCTGCTGGGAGCCCTTCTCACACTGCAGGCAAGTGTCAGGGGCACACAGCCTCCCTTTATGTCCAGATTTCTTGTTGACTGAAGCACATCTTGGCAGTGTTGTACCTTGCTAAAATAAACGTGAGATAATAAAGTAGATGGTTATAACCTGTATTGTATGTAATCCCACCATAGCAGTTTCTTCAACAAAAGTATAACAGAGATCCATATATGAAGAGGTTATTGCCACATTCATTGTGGCAATAAAACTAACTCAACATAGATCAAAGGCCACATTCATTGTAGTAATAATAATAAAAAGGGGAATGTCACTTTTCCACATAAATGATGGAGCATCTATATAGAAGAATGCCATGTAGCACTAAAACTGTTCAGGTAGAATTTTCATCCTGGAAAGTTGTACACAATGTGAATGGAAAAGGCAAATTCTAGAATAATAGGATCACAGGTGTCTGCCCACCCACCCACTTGACTGACCTCCCTCCCTGTCTGTGTCCTTCCCCCTCCTCCTCCTCCCTCTCCCTCTCCCTCCCTTTCTTTCTCCCCTCCTTTCTCCCTTCCTTTATTTCTCCCTTCCTTTCTCCCCTCCCTTTCTCATGGAGACATGATCTAGCTCTGTCACCCAGGCTGAAGTGTCGTGGCCTGATCACAGCTCATTGCATCCTCAAACTCCCAGGCTCAAAGTCTTCCCACCTCAGCCCCTCAAGTAGCTGGGGCCACATGCGCACACCACTACACCCAGCTAGTTTTTAAAATGTTTTGTAGAGATGAGGTCTTGGTCTGTTTCCTAGGCTGGTCTTGACTCCTGGCCTCAAGCGATCCTTCTGCCTCAGCCTCCCAAAGTGCTGGGGTTACAGGCAAGAGCCAAGGCACCCGGCCTAAACAGCTTTATTGAGATAATTTACATTCCGTAAGTTCTACCAGCATTAGGTATAAAAGTCTGTGGTTTTAGTAAATTTCTAGAGTTTTGTAGTCATCATCACAAGTCAGTTTTAGAAGGTTTCCAAAAAGACACTTAGGCCCATTTGTAGTTAATTCCCATTCCAACCCTTGGCCACAGGCTACCCCTACTCTGCCCTCTGAATATAGATTTGACTTTTCTGACTTTTCCTGTACATGGAATCATACACTGTCTAATCATTTCTGTGCCTGGCTTCTTTTTCTTGGCAGAACGTGTCTGTGATTCATCCAGGTTATACTATGTATCAGTAGCTCCTTGCTTTTCCATTCCCCAGTTGATGGATGTTTGGGCTCCCACTTTTTGGCTCTTGAGCAAGGCTGCTGTAAGCACTTGTCATGTCATACTGCCTGTGTGGACATGGGGTTCATTTCTCTAGACCAGATAAATAGGTGTGGAATTGCTGGGATGTGGAGTGAATTTGCAGTTAACATTTAAAGAAACTGCCAGACTATCTTCTAGAGTAGCTCACCATTTTGCCTTCCCACCAGCAGTGTGTGAGCATTCCAGTTTCTCCACTTCCACACTAACACTGCTGTTGTCTGATAACAGCTGTTCTAATGGGTGTTAAGTGGGGTCTCCTGACAGAGTTGACTTGGATTTCCATGGTGACTAATGATGCTGCAGCTCTCTTAATGGGCTTATTGGCCATTCATGTATCTTCTTTGGTGAACTTCAGAACTTTTTCTCATTTTTATATTAGGTTTTTCCTTGTTGGTGGGACATAGAGTTTTAAAAATACGTTTTGATACAAGTCCTTTATTAGATATGATTTTCAAATACTTTCTTCTAGTCTGCAACTTTCCATTTTGTTTTCTGAATAGTCTTTTGAAACTAAGAAGTAGGTAATTTTGATGAAGTGCGATTTTGCACTTTTTTTCTTACATAGAGCAT